AAAGAAACATTGGTGGAATAGAAATGTCAATGTAATAAAGGACGATTATTATTGGGCGAAGAAAATCGCAGATAAGAACCAAGGTGCATGTGCATTAAGATTCCCGCGGGTAATGAAAAGTGTGTCAAACTGATTATTGACAATATATGGATGGAGTTTCGTGATCGCAATCTTGCATTAAAACTGTTTTTCAACGGATGTAATGAACAATGCTTTGAGTGCGAACAATGCACTTTCGCAAACAAACATAATGAAAAGGTGTTAGAACGTTATGATATTCTAGATATGTCACGATGTTGCAATGTGTGTGAACGAGTCACGTGCAAGTGCTCTGTGAAAGAGTGCGACATGATTTAAAAACTGTGAAAAGACAAGGAAAATCATAAGCGAATGGAACACGAACTGTTGGAGCAGTGCGGCCAAGTCGCTACACTTTCGTGTGGCTGCAACGATGCGACGAGTGCATCGAGCAGCTCGAAGACCTTTTTCGTGTCAAGCGTCCGCACCTCGCAGTTGGACACAGACAATTCGTGGTGGCAAGGATCGCGCGATTCACGGGTGCAAAATCACAATTGGAGCGACGTTTTGTGCACATTGGCGAGTACGCGAGTACGAACGATCTCTTGTCTGGCGAGAGATCGACGTTCGAGAGTCGTATATTAACAGGTGCGGTGATAAACTCTAATCACATCGAGCCGCGACGGTTTTTAGAAGACGATGGAAATGTAGCTCTAGAACGAGTGCTGTAGAAAGACACAGTAGTGTAAAAGTGAACACCGCATTCAATGGTGAGTTCGCGACGAAGGATAAACGTGCTAATAAGAGTATAGCTACAAAGAACAGCGAGATATACCGATACACGGATTTGCGCGTGTGGTACGAGCAGCATGTCATCGAGCCTATCCTAGCATTGCTCGAAGAGTTCCAGGAACGCGACAGCGGGTGGACATTGTCACGTATATTGAATTTGACTATCAATGTGAACAAACTAAATCCCCTGTGTGCGGGATGTCATATCGAAGTGCCACGAGAAATAGCAACGAAATGAGCGGTAATCAGTGTTCGTATGACGGCAATGCGTGCTTCGCGTGGTCGGTGATCGCCGCTCTGTACCCAGCTGAAAAGTATACGGAACAGGAATCCTATCATTATACGACAGTATTGAATCTCACAAATATTGAGTTTCCAATTACTTTAAAAGACATTTCTAAATTCGAACAGTTGAACGCGGTGTCGATCAACATATATGGCATCGAGAGTAAACAAATCCTTCCTCTACGGCTCACCGATAATAAGAAGGAGAAGCATATCAATCTTCTACAAGATTCACACAACGACAACCTTGGCCACTAGGCATGGATAAAAAATTTATCGTGTCTTGCTCTATGAGCTCGGAGATTAGGAAAAAAAACAAGAATTTTTTCTGCGATTGGTAAGTATAATAAGAAAAGCCAATAAAAAAAAACAGTAAAAAAGAAATAGTGAAAAATGATTTCTCTATTACTCACAGGTGTCTCCATTATTTCAGTTCGTGCGAAAAATTGCAATTGCACGAAACTGCCAGAAGATCAACGACTGCACTATCCGACTGCCAAGCGAGGACGACAAGTGGCAAGAATTTGATAACTATAGCAACCGGGAACGAGTGCCGTTCATCGTCTACGGCGACCTGGAGTGCGTTCTGTGTAAGATAGAATCCGACAAGAAAGACGCGTCGTTGTACGCGGTATGAAGCGACATGAAGCGTTTAGCATAGATTATTACATACAATACGCGTACGATGACACATTATTGTCGTGTTACTTCCGTCGCGATGAAGGCTGTATAATGTGGTTCGCGCAACAACTCAATGATTTGGCACATCGCATGAAAAATATCATATCCGCCAACATGCTCGTGGAAACATTGTCTAAACAACAATAGGAAGCATACTGTAGCGCGACGCGTTGTCACATCTACGAGGAAACCGTTCGCGCCGGACGATACGCGAGTTCGCGATCATTGTCATCTCACCGGTAGATACCGCGGTCCAGCGCATTCAAATTGTAACTTAAATTATAAAAATTTGTTCTATATTCCGATCGTATTTCACAATTTATCGGGCTATTATGCTCATTTTATAATTAAAGAAATTGCTACTGCATACGATGAACATGTAGATATATTACCGATAACGAAGGAAAAATATATTTCATTCACCAAACAACGATAGTACTAAAGACAAAAATGAAAAGAATTTTCAGAAAAATGTAAAATTAAGATTCATTGATTCTTTCAAATTTCTTCTTTCAAATGCAAACCTCGATAAATTGGCGTCGTATCTCGACAAAGATAAATTAAAAATTGTACGTTCCGAATTTTGCAAGCTCAGCGCGGAGGATTTCGATCTTCTCACATGAAAAGGTGTCTTTCCGTACGAATACATTGACTGCGTCGAAAAATTGCAGGACACGCACTTACCACCGCGCGAATTATTTTTCAGTTCATTGACAGGCGATACCGTTTCCGAGAGCGATTACGCTCACGCCGTGAACGTATGGCACCGATTCTCCATCCGAACGCTCGGCGAGAGTACAGTGATTTGTACTTGAAAACTGATGTCTTGTTATTAGCCGACATTTTCGAAAATTTCCGCAATAGTTGCATCGCGAGTTACTGTTACGATCCCGCGCATTAATATACATTGCCAGGTTTCACGTGAGACGCCATGCTGAAACATACGCATATAAGATTCGAGTTGCTCATCGACATTGATATGATCATATTCATCGAGCGCTGGTATACGCGGCGGTCTCAGTCAATGTTCCAGCAGATACGGACAGGGTAATAACAAGTACATGCATTCATTCGATCCATCGAAACCGTCGTCATACTTGATGTACGATGTGAATAATTTGTACGGATGGACGATGTGTCAACCTTTGCTATACGCCGAATTTCAACCGAATGGATCCAAGAGACACTGTGAACTTTGACGTGAGCGCGATCGCTCCGGATTCATCCACCGTTTATATTCTCGAGGTCAATCTCCAGTATCCGCAGCATCTACACTGATCTACCTTTCTGCGCCTACCTAATGAGCGATAAACCGCCCGGCAAGCGCGATAAACTTCTAGCGACGTTGTACGATAAGCAGCAGTACGTCATCCACTATTGCAACCTGCAGCAATGTACTCGTCACGGTCTTCGCGTAACAAAGATCCACCGGATGTTACAATTTGCTCAATCTCTATGGCTCCGCGATTACATTGAATTCAATACACAATTTAGAACGCGCGCGTTCTAAAATGATTTCGAAAAAAATTTGTATAAACTAATGAACAACGTGGTATTCGATAAGACCATGGAAAATGTGCGCAATCATATTGATGATAACAAAATGAAAATTGATAACAAAATGAGACGGACGATACGGCGTGAAGGCAATGATCGCGAAATCGAATTTTCACAGCCGCAGTGTCTTCATGGGAAATTTAATCGCCGTCGAAATGCGCAAACTCGAAGAAAAGTTCAACAAATCGATTTACGTGGGTATGTGTATACTCGACATATCGAAAGTCTGCTTGTACGAATTTCACCATGAGTACCTGTCATCGATGTATCGCAATAAATGCAAGATTATGTACACTGACACGGACAGTCTCATTTACCATATAGAATGCAACGATGTTTACAAGAATATGAAACGTGATATCGATTAGATTCGACACGAGCGATTATCCGGCAGACAACGTACGGTATGCTTCTCCCGAACAAAAACCCGGCTTGATGAAGGATGAAAATAATGATGCGATAATGACCGAATTCGTTAGACTGAGAGCGAAGATGTACGCGGTGAGAGTGGACGGCAAGAAGGATACTAAAAAAGTGAAAGGTGTAAAGAATAACGTCGTAGCGCGAACGATAACGTTCGATGATTACACGCAGTGTTTGAAAAGATCGAGATGACTCGCCATCAATCGTGTATACAACCTAAATTACACGAGGTGTACACGATATCCGAATCGAAAATCGCTTTGAGTTCATACGATGACAAACGATACGTCGTACCGGATTCGACGTTATCGTGGGGGCATAAGCGGATACCTTTGTAATATATGTTACTATTATGAATTACTTATTATAATTTACATTTTTTTCACATTTATACAAGTATTATTAATTACATGTTTTTATGTATTAGTATTACGATTATTATACTTTCATATAATACGTATCATATGTTTTTAACATTTATATACTACTAGTATTTCAATTTTACATTCTATGTATCTCATTTTTTTTATCATTTATGCATATTATTATTATGTACTACTATTATTTTAATTTACACGTAATGCATGTTTTTTTACATTTATATAAGTATTATTATTATGTTTTATATAGTACCATTTATTATATACTAATATTTTTCATTTCATGTATCGTACATTTATGTATATTCCAAAACGAAGATGGAAAGGATAATAAAAAAATACGTATATATATTTATATTGATATATTTTTATATATAGAAATAAAAATACACGAATCAAAATTTTGTCAATGACATTGTTTTTGTGTAAATTGTACGATCGATCGAATCCCAGCCATTTGACGTACATCTTATCTTCTTTCCTACGCAGTACTTTCTCCACGAGATACACGTCCGAAATATGAATAGTGCGATGCAACTCATGCTCGTAAAACGCTCCAGCGACAGATTTTCCTTGAGTAGATAGAGCGATAATCCTTGAATAGATAGGTTACGGAATTGAGCTGTATCTTAACGATTGTAAACACCTCGTCCAATTTGGTGTGTAACCCTTCTCAAAAATCGTCTTGTACTTGCTCACGTACCGAATCGCCCACTTTAAATTTTGACGGACCAGCAATCTTTATCGTGCTGTACACCGTATCCAAGAGTCTTTCGGCGATCGCGGGAGTTACGTCAGGTCACATGCCGATAGTCCGATGCTTGCGCGCGTTGTAATCTGCACGAGACGCGGTAGCTTGCCGATCTACTTGTAATTGCCGTTGAGTGTAAACATCTTCCACATGTTGTTTTTGAGCGTGCGATTGAATCGCTCGATTACTGACGCTTTCAACGTCGAATACGTGGAATAGTGATTAACGTCGTGTTTTTTCAAAATTTTCTGCACATTGTAAAATTCCTTCCCCGTTTGTAAATTTTTCGGATATCTTCCATTCAGACGAATTATCTCAGCGATAGCATCAGTCGTTTCGCTTCCATCTTTGCTCTTGAGCAGTACGGCCCACGCGTACTTGCTCAACACATCGATGAGTATGTAGTGGTGGCCTCTGTTGAAGTCTGAGTACGGACGCATCTCGATGATATCAGCCTGCCACATTTCGTATCCTCGAACTATGACGCGGAAAATTTCTTCTCGCCGGAGCATGCAATTCCTCGATGAATCGACGTCTCTCGGAGCTAATTTTTCTCTTTTCGCTGAATCTCTTTTTCATGATTAAACGCGTAATACACAGAGCAAAAGAATTTTTTTTTCTCACTGACATCACTCGTTTTGTCTATACGCGATTTAATTTATAATAAGACCGGCATCGAGAAATTCCTCGATTATCAACAACATCTTGTTGTTGTGAGCGTTGTTGCTCGCTCGGTGTGAAACGTCGAGCACTCGTAGACGATCCATCAGCTCATTGGGATCGTCCCAATGCACGTAATCGATTGCATTGTCATTCAATATCATTGCGTGAAGTAATCCCTTTTAGGATTTCTTCTTCTGTTTCTTGGGTGTGATTGACATCAACGGCGCGATTATTACAACGGCGTATTTGTACTTGTATCCCCTATTGCTCAATAATCGGCCCGATTGATGCTTGTGTTTGTGCGCGATCGTCGTTAGTAGCATGCTCTTGTACTTGTTCATATCGTCTTTCGTGTAGAGGAGAATTTTCTTGAAAAGCAACTCGTAAAGGCCAGATCGTATCGTACACTATCGATAATTATGTTGTCCGCGTCATCCACATCAAAACGTTTATTGCCAAACATCAATCCATCCTTGTGTAAATAAACGCCGTACACATAATCTACATCGCTCTTCTATTTATCTCGCGTTTCGCTCAGGACAGCCTCGACGTACTTTTGACCCAGCAGGCCCAAGCCAGCTCGTAATGCCCCTCGACCTTCCGACGTTTGCAATCGATTTTGAACCTTCGTCGCTAGCGAGTCTTCCATCGTTTCGAAAACATTGTCCAACGACTCTATCATCGGTACGATTTTGATACGCGGTGTGAAGGTTATTGGCTGTACACGATCGTGCGATCGATCATCGGATTTACGCGGGGTCGCGGAATGCTCGAACGTTCTCGCTCGCTTTCTCTCCTTCTTTCTTCTCCTTCTCCGCTTTTCTCTCACGCTTGGAGACAGATGCTACGTCATCGTCGCGCGAATGTCTCTTTATTGTGCGCACGGGGCTGTTAACAATTTGCTGCAGAGGTTTTATAATAGTTTTATAATATAATTTAAAATGCCTGTCCAATGCCATGTCCTCCTCGATTCTACTGGTCTTTAGAGCGCGATTTCTTGCGGATCGACTCGCTCGTCTTCTCTCTCGCAATTTTTTCACGCGCGCGCACATCAACCATGTTCGTCTCTGGCGAAGTATCGACAACGACTAGTCACGTTACAATAAATCGCGAATTCGTTAAATCCCTTTCTGTATCTCCCGTCTTTAAGCGCCACTATCCTTGTCTATCACTAAAAATCCATATTCTTTTTGCCAACAGTCGCGACACAACAAATAAAATTCATCATACGACATGTCGGTATTCACGTGATCGTTGTAAACACGTTTCAAGTTGTTACAATCCTGTTTGAACAGGATCAACAGGTTCGCGTTGTCGCGTATCAGATGTTCAAGTATCCTCGCGTACGTCTGACAGAGATAAAAGCAGTTAACATTCGCGTGGCGGCCCATTGAAAAGTATTCTCTCATCTCATTCTGCTTGTCGCATGCTACGTCATCAAAGATAGAAATAGAATTTGGGCGCGCTTCGCTCGGTGGAAAGACATCGCTGTTATTGGAGAACGTAAAGTAGCCGATTTCATCGATAGACGTAAATAAATTTTCGAGATATCAATACTTTAGCTATTGCACGTACACATTTTTCGAAACGTAGGCCGTTTGGACTCTAAGCAAGCTTATCAGAACGTTGGTTTTACCACAATTCGACGGGCCGCAAATGATCGTGCGTATAGTACTCGGTAGCATTTCGCCGTGCTTGCGCTTCTCCATGCTGCCTCCCATCATTCGCAATTTCGCGTCACAATTTGTGACATGTATCGTTAACGGTTGCAGCACGAATTTCATGCTCACATTAAAGACTGTGTACTCTCGAATGACTATTTAAAGGTGCGCGAATTCGTGAAGTATCGCGCAGTAGTAAAATGTATCTCGCGCTGTCATCCTTCTGATATTCGAGACTTGAGCATCGAGCAACTGCAATATAAGCTTAAATCCGCTGTTTTTAAGTCAGAAAAACACATTTTCTTTCCTTGGAAGCAAAAACAAATTTATTCAAAATATTTGCCCTCGCTAACTATACATTTTTCCCATCTTTCGGGCAATTTGTGTACACCAAAAAAATTCCTCATCTTTCGAGGCAAATCATTCATCAAGCCATTTTCGAACGTCTTTGTAAGAATCGAAGTGCCACTCAGCGAGCGCGTGGCCCATCAACGAAAACAGGTGATAGTCAGAAGTTGTCAGATCTGGTGAGTAAGCGGGATGGGGTAACACTTCCCAGTTGAGTGTCTCCAAGTTGTTTTGGACCATTGTTGACGTGTGCGATGTCGTGGAGGAAAATCAGCTTGTCATGTCTTTTCCGATAATGCGGCCTTTTTTCACACAGAGCACTTTGCAATTCGATCAGTTGTTGACGGTGAGCATTAACAGTTTCACCAGGTTTTAACCTTTTAAAACTCGTAGTAGATGACACCCTCCTGATCCCACCAAACGCACAGCATCGTCTTCCATCCGAAGTGATTTGGTCTTGAGGAAGATGTTGATGGTTGGGCGGGATCAATCCAAGATTTCTTGCGTTTAGGATTATGAAAATAGATTCACTTTTCATCAACTGTCACAATCCGATGCAGGAACGAATTTCTTTTTTGTCTGGCAAACAGAATTTGGCATGTGTTTTGGCGTTGTTCCATCTGCTTCGTTCAATTCATGCGGCACCCCATTTCCGATCTTTTGAACCTTCCCCATAGCATGTATCCGCATGGAAATGGCTGCTTGAGAAACACCCAATTGCTCGGCAAGCATTTTTTGCGATTGGGTATCGTCCTCGTCCAAAAGAGCCTGCAATTGACAGTCCTCAACCTTTCTGGTCCGATTTTCAAGCTTCTTGTCACTCAGGTCAAAATTGTCGTCATTGAACCGGCGAAACCAATTTTTGCCCGTTGTTTCCGATAAAGCATTGTCGCCATAGGCCTCCACAAGCATTCAATGCGATTCGGCAGCCGATTTCTTCAAATTGAAACAGAAAAGCAAAGTTTCCCTTTTTTTTTAGCAAAAAAACTAGACATGATTACGAAAGAAAAAATATATGTTGTTGTATGAAATTGCTGATGATGTGCACTGATTAATGTTGACAGATGTTAAACACAAAAAAAAGTGTGTTGTGTGCCCAGGGTAGCTCTGTACGCTCACTAAATGCCACCTATGAGCAAACAGCGGATTTAAACTTATACACCTTATATACCGAAGGTCATACTCTTTCGCGTGTATGGCGACTACATCGAACACGTCTGAGACAAGCTTCCGGAACACGGAAGACAGATTCGGAGGTTCGAATCTATCATCGCTACGACGAGCACTACAATCAGCCATGGCAGCGGACGCACATCGACGCTCCGCACCGAAGATAAAGGATTGTAGCGAATGTCAGCGTCGCGCAGCGATCTGCTGAATCGAGCGATAAACGCGCTTTCTTTCGAGTTACATATTCCGGACTATCAGTTTTGTGGCCCGGGTACTCGGCTTATGAAGCGACTAGCCAGAGGTGACGAGAGCATAGATCGGCATGGGCATGAAACCGAAGAAGAAGACGAGGAAAAAGGCGATGAAAAGCGGATACTTCCAACAGCGTAACGATGCGTTACCGTTTCTGCCAATATTGGGCGGTGCTCGGATCCTTGATCGGCCAGCGTAGCGAAAGCGATAAATGACAGCAAAGCCGCGCGACGTCAGTTCGAAGAGCTGCAACGTCACAATCGTGCAGGGTTGCGGACTGTATCTCGCTCCGTACAAATACGGGCGCGGACTGTATCCCGACCTGTACAAACATGGACAGGGTGTAGCTGCAAAGAAAAAAAAAAACTTTGAAAAGACAATAAAAACCGTCTGGCGCAACTACCAATGTGCAGTTGAACGAGCTCGCGAGACGTGTGCGCGTACTATACTTTAGAAGTGGTTTCATGCGTAACACGTTACCGACGAGCTGCGCCGAAACCAAAGCGGTATCGTGAATCTGGACGGTGCGATGGGGATTGGTCATTAGGTAGCGTACGCAAAGAGAAACAACCGCGTCGTGTACTTTGACAGTTTCGGTAATCTTCGACCGTCCATGGAATTGGTGCGATATTTCTGTCACGATAGAGACATGCTATGACGATAGAGTGCAATCGCAGATGTGTCTGCGGTTTCTACAAACGGTAGACGCGCGTGAATTTAAAAAGCTCGACGAGATGCTGTGAAATCTTAGTATTAATCGAATGCTTTTTCCGTTATGTCGTTGACGCTTACGCTGAGCGGGAAGAGCACCGTTCTCGCGGCGAATTACTTTCTCGCCAGATTTGAGTGATGGAGATTACGAGCTCGGTCTGGCGATTTTTGAGACATATCACACGATACCGAACGTGAATGAATCGAACAACAAACTTTATTTCGCCAAAGACGATGCGGAAATTACAATTCTCGAAGGTACGAAGTGCGGAACATAAATGAATTTTTGAAACTCACGATTTTATGGAAACGTCCACACCGTGACGCGCTTGAAACCGTTGACGTAGTGCGTGGTGACAGTAACAACAACAATGACACCGATGACGATAATAGTGAAGGTGGAGAATACCCGATTACGCTCCGCGCAAACTATAACACGATGAGATGTGAGATTAGATATGCATACAGAATAAACTTTGGCAAGCCCAACAGCACTGGATCGCTGCTGGGATTCTCATCGAAGCGTATACTGCGGCCACGAAGGTGGCACGAATTGAACATGATCGATCAACATAATGAATGTAAACGTTATCCGCGTAGAGTGTAACATGACCGCGGGCGCGTACAGCAATGGCAAAAGCGCGCACACGATACACGAA